CTAGATACTATTTAAAAATTAGGTACCAAGTTTCATGCTATTTGATTAATAACTTTTATTGCGAAAATATAAAAGACCAGACAGAATGCTTCTATAAGGGTTAAGCAAAATGTCTAAAACACCTCCTGCCTTAGAGTTCTGGAAACTACTGACTTCATCACAGGTTGGCTAACATGACTCAATGATTCATACTAATGGTACATACTGCGCTCGTAGCTGAATATACAAGCAATAAGTGAATCAGTAATATGTTTGTCAGTTTGTGAACGACGTTCTTCAACTTGCTATACGGCAAGTAGCAGCCAAGCTAAACCTGTATTATTAAGTTGTTTTTTTTTAGACTAGTCATTTGTGGTGTTCATCAAAAAGTAGAACAGTGACTGTTTCCGTGGTTCATCATCACTGCTGCTGCAATGACTTGACTTCTGCATGATGTTCAGGATCTGAATATACAATGAATAAACATGATGTCACTGACTTGCAAGATAATCTATGCTGTTCACCCTGCTGGTGTTATCCAATGCACAATCATACCTTACAGATTTTTCAACTTCATCAGCCGTTTCAGAGACTCATGATCCACTCAGCTGGTAAACTCCCTGCCATAGAAGTAGTGGTATTATCCTTCTTTATTTTACAGTATCTGCATTCTAAAGTAGTCGCCATTGTAACGAATTTATTGTTATATATTGATTTTAATATCAACGTTTGTTTAGATTAAATTTATATTTAGAAACACATATAGCTAATACTGTTAAATATATATTGCGAAACTCTCGCCTATTCTCCACAGTTGTAGAAGATTTTCGAGAATAAGAATGAACAATATATGTGTGTATGTAAACGTGTTAGCATCAATATTGTTACGTAACAATAGAAATTTCTAGAAAGCCTTCACACGCTTATAAATATAATCAATGCGACGCGCCAAAACAAAAAAGAGTATCTATTATTCGTTTACTATAGTCAGTGTGCTATAAACTTTGGAAACTATAACTGTCATTGTTATAATGCTTATCGGAAAACTTCAGATATTTGACCAGAAACATTTACAAAGTTTGAACGTTACAACTCATTTAACTTCAGTGGATTCTCATTGGACATTAGTATTTTTACGAAAACATTATATAACTTCATCGTGAAAAACTCGGTGGGTATGGCTGATAAATAACGAAGGACAAAGCTAGCTAGCTTCCCGTTAAGCGAATCGTACCTACATCAACTCGTAATTAACTCGCTTATCGTGAACCCTGGATAAGATATCAAGGAAGTTCCAGACTAGAAAGAAGACTTTATATTGCTTGTAAGTGTGTGAAACTTTTGTTTATAAATCATTGTTTGTAATAACTGTTTGTAATAACTGTTATTGTAAGTTGCATTGTTGTGTGTATATTAAAAAGTATTTGTGTTAAAAAAGAAAACTGTGTATCAATCTTGTTGGCAAATATCATAAACTAACTATATATCGGCTTTTACTTACCTGCTCAATCCAAAGTACAATTTAACTACTAAATTTAAATTTATCAGTTAACTCAATTTCGGGCTATTTGAAATTCTAATACGTAACACCATACAATTCACACATGTGATAATATGTTCCATATTCTCCTGTACCCATGACAAAATAATTCAAAATTACCATCTCTGGATTAATATCTAAAATAAATGGACAGCTATTCCAGGACAGAAATACGTGTTTGCATTCCTGCATACCCAAAAATAACATGCCAGCCTTAATCAATTCAGAGAGGGTGCAACTATTTTAGAGATGCTGACCACAAACTGTCAATAATATGATATTCAACCTTCAGCATTTGCTCAATTTCAGCACTGGAATAAACCCTAGTGCTCCAAATAACCTTCATTTATGTGAAGGAGCGTGATTGTATAGGTACATGGGATGCTATGTATTTGTTCTCTGGTCTAATAAACACGGTAGCAAATTGACTGCGCAGTTCAATGTTTTTATGTCTGTGTGTGAGTTTTAGACTGTGGTTGTGACACAATATACTTGGCTTATTTAAATCGCTTCTGCATCCATTACCGTGCCAGAGATAAGCTGAATAGCTGAATGTCTGTAGTTACAGACTAGCACTAGTAAAACACTAGCACTTGGACAGAAAAATGTTTAAGCAAGTGCAACCTGCTTCATAAACAGAAAACAATGTGCTTGCATGTCACTTCTGTTACCACAACAGACAGCAACACTGTACTAGACTAAATCCAGAATTATTAAATAATATGTGCAAATTTAGAAGCATTGCTAAACTCTTCTCAATATGCACGCATGTAATCCATCGTTTTTAGGCCCAGCCTGGCTGACACTAGTCAGAACTCCAACAGAACTGCAGTTCATCTGTTCTACAAACAAAACTAGGTGAAAATCAATTTATACAGTAAATTCATCCTCAAGATAAAAATTCCTCATCCAAGATTGGAAACAGCTGTATTCATTAGGTAAGGGATATGGCTAAGACAAAGTTGGGAACTTCTCTACCCACAGCTTGCCATCAATGTTCGTGCTAATTGGCGAAAAGGTTGGTTTCCTTATACCTTGAGTACAAACTAATGATCGAATAATTGAAGTGAAAGCATATAGAAAATGCAGCTAGTTAGCACCATCCACAGTCAGTTCTTACTATTCTACCATCGAATATTATCATCCACTGTCATACCATAACGTACACAAAGCTAAATGGTCGAGGATATTCGGCGACGGATTTCGATCCCATGACCAGTAGATTGCGAGTCCAGCGTTCTAGCAACTTATAACTTCTAGCCCTTATAACTTAATCTAAGCAATAAAATGAATGAATGAAAACTTCAAACAACAGTTATTCTACGAACGTTTCGATAATTATATAATTTAGATAAAATTTCCAAACATCAATATGAAGTTTTGAAACGGCTATTCGTAAGATAACAGATTTATTTTCTGTAAAACGTTTCGTTTCTAACAGTGAAACATAATCACGTAAAACATTTAAGTTACAAGTACATTCAACTGCAAATACATCCAGTTAAATAATTCGGTTTTTAATACTAACCCCCTCTGGTTTTACATGTAATTAGCTTAATACAAATATAATAACGCTCCTGATGTGTTATTAGTGTTAGATTTTAACTGTTTGATTCTTAGTGCTTCCACATTTTGTTTGAGTTTTTCCTCTATATTCAGTACTTTAATCTTTTTAAAGTTTATTTCTTGTTCTTTTTCAGTCGTATGTTCATTCACGTTTGATTCTTTTCGTTTTTCATGTTCATTTATTTCAAGTATACTTAGAGGGGACTCATTTTTTATTTGAAACATTATCTTATGTTTTGAGTTTCATTTTTCACGTTTTCATTGGTGTATAGTGTCGGTGGTGTTGTTATACATCATTTTAATCTTCTAATTTTTACTTTTTTTCTATCATGAGCATAAAACCAGTTTACATAAGTTCCATCGCAAGTGTTCTTTTGGTGAATTTTCAAAGTAAATGTTTCTTTTTTCTTCATGTTCACGTTTAGGAAGTTTATACAAACATTTTATTAATTTTCTGTTGTGAATTTGATTTTATTATGTTGTTTGTTAATGTGTTTAAAAACTACATCTTTTCTTTTTCTTCTTTAAAGCCACATAGGATGTTATCAATATATCTTCACCAGAAAAGTGGTAGAAATACAACTGTATTAATAGCCTTTGTCTCTCTGCTCATGAGGAATAACGTTGGTAATAATGGACTTCCCATTCCTTGTACTTTTCTTTGTACACAGAAGACTTTCTTTCAAACGTACGTAAAGTTTTTTAAACATAAAACAGTTTTTAATTCCTAGTTCCAATAGTTGTTTCATATCTGGACCTGAAGACGAAAGGCGGAAGACTTTCGAAACGTCGTCCTCCACATTTGTAGGTTTCTACAACAGGCAGTTACTGTCCATTTGATTCAGAACACAAGTAAGGTTTAAAATTCGCCGTAATGCCAAGAAAATTACCAGTTCAAAGAATGAAGAGTGTTTTCGAGGAAATAAGTAAAAAATTAACCATGATAAACAAACAAGAAAATAAGGAAAACCAAAAACAACAGCAACTATTAAAGAAATAAAGTACACACACTGGAAGGAATTAACCAGGATTTGTATAAAATAAACAGATCTAAAATAACTAGCAAACCAAAAAAATAGGAACAATAACAGAATTTTTAAAGGAATTCCCTATGAAGTCAGAGTCTCTAATGAAAAACAAAAAATTAAAACAAATATAAGTGAAGGTGAAAAAACAAGGGATTTAAAGGTTTGTTTGTAATTAAGCACAAAGCTACACCATCTGCTCTGCCCACCACGGGTATCGAAACTCGGTTTCTAGCGTTGAAAGTCCGTAAACAATCCGCTGTACCACTGGAGGGGGGGCGACTTTAAAGGATGTACAAATGAAAGAATTATTAACCACAAAACCTGATAAAGACAACACTGTTGTAATACTATCCAAAACAGAATACGATGTAAAAAAATGAAGTGATTGAAAACGTTACAAAATTTGGAAAAGTAAAACAACCTTCATGAAACATGAAAAAGAAAACTGATCGCATGTTTGAAACAACTAAGAGACAAAAAAATTAATGAAGGCTAACCTTTATTTATTTCAAGAAATACAGATGTAAGAATACTACGGTTATATGAAGAATCAAAGATACATAAATAATTTTTCGCAGTGAGACCAATCCTATCAACGTATGATAGCTTCAATTATGAACTATGTAAATTGCTAGCTTAGATCCTAAAAAGATACACATAAAATGAGAAAACTGTCGTGTACAACTCTTTTAATACAATAAACAAAGTGAAAAAAGAAAGCCTAATAGCAGTATACGTAGCTTTGATATAGAGTCAATGTTAACTCAATTACCCGTGGGTAAAGCCAATGCAATAGCATTAAACAAAATAGACAATGATGAAATAAAGATATAAAAATGTATTTAGAAGATATGAAGAACTATTGGAATTGTGAATTAAAAACTGTTTCACGCTTTGTGCAAAGAGAAAGTATATGAATAGGATGTCAACCACCATCCATCTCCAGTATTATGTCCACCACCATCTCCAGTATTATGTCCACCACCATCTCCAGTATTATGTCCACCACCACCATCTCCAGTATTATGTCCACCACCACCATCTCCAGTATTATGTCCACCACCATCATCTCCAGTATTATGTCCACCACCATCTCCAGTATTATGTCCACCACCATCTTCAGTATTATGTCCACCGCCATCTCCAGTATTACCAACGTTATTTCTCATCAGCCAAAAGCCATTAATAAAGTTTTGTTTCAATCCCTTTCTGGTGGAGATAACATCCTATGTGGCTTTAAAGGAGAAGAATATATGATGTGTTTTTTGAATATTTGAACAAACAACATAATATTCACAACAGAATAAGAGCAAAATTATTGTATAAACTTCCTAAACGTGAAAAAAGAAACGTTTAGTTTGAAAATTCACCAAAAGAACGCTCACAATAGAACTTATGTAAACTGGTTTTTCATTCATGATAAAAAAAGTAAAAATCGGAACATTAAAATGATGTATAACAACAACACTGAGACTATACACCAACGAAAACGTGAAAAATGAAACTCAAAACATAAGAGAATGTTTCAAAATAAAAATATACCCTATAAATGTAATTGATGACACAATCAAGATAAACAGTGAACCCATAAAAAATGAACACATACAAGAACAACAAGAGAAATGAGTAAAACACACAAGACGAGAAAGAGAAGAAATGTATTTCTGGATCAATACCATTTGTAGGGAATATTAACGAAAAATTAATTAGATTGTGGAACAACTTAAACAAAAAACACAAATTGCACGAACAACTAAAATCGTAACTAAACTAGTTACATAATAATGAAATCTGTGTAACTGTATAAAGTAGAATGTTTAGACTGCGAAAGTTTCTCCAAACAGGTTGGAAAATTTAACGACCAGATGTAAGGAACATGAAAAACGAAAAGAATCAAACGTGAATGAACAAACGACTGAAAAAGAGCAAGAAATAAACTTTAAAAAGATTAAAGTACTGAATATAGAGGAAAAACTCAAACAAAATGTGGAAGCACTAAGAATCAAACAGTTAACACCTAACATTAATAAAACATCACGAGCGCCATTATACTTGTATTAAGTAAATTGCATACAAAACCAGAAGGAGCTCGTATCAAAAACTGAATTATTTAATTGGAGGTATTTGCAATTTGAATATGCTTGTACTTTAAATGTTTTACGTGATCATGTTTCACTGTTAGAGACAAAACGATGTACATAAATAAATCTATTATCCCATTAATAGCTGTTTCAAAACTTCATATTAATGTCTGGACGTTTTATCCAAATTATGTTTAAAGTTTCATAACTTTACAAAATAAATGTAAAATATATACATTAATTATCTTACTTTTATTATAAAAAACGCTGATACAACCAGAGTTAAACAAAAATCAATTTATTAAACTGTAACAACAAGAGAAATCTAAAATATAATTTTTAAACAATTGTAATACAAGTTTTATAAAAAAAACAGTTAGTAAATCCTATCTGAGCAGGACTTTGAAGACAAACATTAATAAACAATACAACATTGTCAAAAACTATTTTTTAGTTCTATATATAGTAATGTAAGTATATTAGTGTGTTGGGGTAAGTATTCTTCTACAGTAGGTATCTGTGACTTATTGGCGATAAATTCAACAATAAACGAGCAGCACGCACTCCACTTGTTTTTAAAATAATATATATATATATTAGAAACAAGTTGAACGTATATACAAAAGTATTTACACTGTGGAGAGCATAGCTGTATCTTAAACACTATACTTCAATAAAGTTTTTATTGTGTAAATACAAAACGTTGTTTTAATTATTTATTATAACTTTAATAAACTATACAGTTCTCTTCTTGTTGTCAAAAGTCCATTTAGTCCTATTCACTTGCTTGAGAACTCAGTTGACAAGACGAATTATTTTTTCTATTATATATATATATATATATTAGTTGTATTTTAAACACTATACAGTTCTCTTCTTCTTGTCAAAAGTCCATTTTGGCCAATTCAATTGCTTTAGAATTCAAATGACAAACAAAACTATTTTTCTCTTGTTTTTATCACAATAGTATCTGTATATGATTCCCTTACGCTGTCGCATGAGTCATCGCAGTTGTATCCTGTACTTTCAATAATTGTCTGCTTTTCTTCCTTCCAAATAATCGCCTGCTTTTTCATCAAAGTCCACACAGGCGGGTTCAATTAGCTTAGAACGCCCTCTGAGAAGACAAATTATTCTCCTTATCTCTTTCAAACTATTAACCTCACTCTAGCATATCAACTGTTAGGCCTTTCACTCCTACAATGATTAACTTTGCATTTTCTAGCTTTCTCTCACCGAACTTCTCTTTCTCGTGACTTTACTCGCTTTCTGTTTTCACTCGTATGGTCACAGCTATTTATACGACTATCACTTAACTCTTCTTGAAATCTCCATATCCTTGGCATCAATGGATTGCAAACACAAAGTTTGATAGTCTCGATATCAATGAGTTATAAACACAAAATAAATATATTAATAATACTACCTACACTAAACAGTCCTTTATATCTGACAATAAGCCCTCTTCAAGAGAAATATTAAAAAAAAACATTTTCACTATATACAAAGACTGTTTCCAGCTCATCCACAAAGTATACTCATATATAGTCTGCAACAACATTTACAGTCCCCTTGGTGGCTTCATTGCGAAACATGTAGTTCTGAAAGTACAATGCTTACCTCATGATCCTTGCACTGTCGATTTTACACCTCTGAATGTATGCAAGTGGTTGAAGTTCTGTATGGATGATGAACTCTTTCCTGTATAGATAATTCTGGAACTTCTGAATGGCAAATATGATAGACAGACACTCTTATTCAATCATGTAGTAGTTCTTCTCACTACTTAACAGCTTTTTACTTATATATACATTACTGGAAACTGTCCGTCTTCATGTTCCTGTGAGAGTAGTGCCCCAATTCCAATGTCTGAAGCATCAGCCTGAACAATGAATGGTTTGTTGAAGTCTAAGAATTGGCAAACTTCCCAATATGTTCTTTAATTTTTGGAATGTCACCTGGTGTGGTTGTTTCCACTTCACCTTGTTGGGCAAGCCTTTCTTGGTCAGGCCAGTTAATGGTGCAGTAACTTCAGCATATTTTGGGATGAATTTCCTGTAGTATCCCACTAACCCCAGGAAGGATCTAACTTGCTGCTTGGTCGTTGGAGCTGGCGCATCTTGTATGCAGATTACCTTCTCTTTGTTCATGGCAATCTGTTAGTCCCCCACCAGACATCAGTGATCCAATCAAGTTCACAGCTCCTCTGCTGAACGGCTCTTCTATGAGAGGCATCTCTCCCAATGGCACCTTGGCTACCTTTCTTTTAGGTATTGTCCTTTGGCAGATGTCACATGACCTGCAGAATCTACTCACATTTCCTATGCCTCCCAGTCAATGGAAGTTACTAGTGATTCTGTCTGCCATCTTCTTTGTTCCTTGGTGTCCTCCCACAATTGATTCATGAGCCAACTTAATCACTTGAGTTCAGTATTCTGTTGATACTAAGATCTGTTTAACTTCTCCAGGACAATTGCCTTGATAGATCTGGTATAGCCCTCCCTTCCAGTCCTCTATTCTATAAGTGTCTTTCCCCTTTGTCTTGTGCTCGACTTTCTCCGAAGTCTTGTCCCAAAATTTCTGTAGTGAAGGGTCTTTCTTCTGTGCATCCTTCAGTTCCTGCAAACTTACATTTGTAAAAATAAGTGAAGCAATTGAATATTTTTGAGGGAATTTTGCAATTGCTTCAGTATATTTAACAGTTGAAATGAGTTAGAAATAAAGTTATAACATTTTTCTGAGTTTTTGAGTGAACATATACATGGAAAAATGGCGTTATTAAGAACGTCAGTATTACGAAATAATCAGTGGCATTGAAAAGCACATAGAGATATTGCCTAGCAACGAATTAAGTGCACGAGCACTCACGACAGGTTGTCGTGGATTACTCGTTAGCACTGTAGAAGCTACGAAAAAGTCGAAGTTAACAAGCAAAAGTGGTACTTTGATGCCATATTCCTTACAAGACGCTAGTGTATTGGTATCAGTAGAGAGGCAACTATAACTCACCCTAACAGTAACCAATCACTTGAGAGTTTTGGTTCTAGTTCTGGATTAGCCCGGAAAATTGCACAAATCAACCAATAAAGTGATAAAACTACTTGTGGGTAGTTCTGGATACTATTTGGAAGGTCGAAAGAATACCAAGAAAATATGGTTTTAAAAACCCCTGTCTGAAACCAAAAGTCAGTCTCCTTCGAGAGTACAGAATTTCTTCCAAAGTTCTTGAATTATTCGTAAATATTACTCAGGAAGTCTCGAAACCCCGAAAGTTTACCAGTCTGGCTCTGTTGTAAGTATAGATTTATAGTTTCTCTTGATCAGTTAATGTAAGTAATATTAAAAGGATATTCATGTTATACTAAAGAAGTGTACTTGTTATGTATGAAAGGATAATTACCGATTAACGTTTCTTAAAAAGATTGTAAGAAGTTAACCATTAACGAAATTGTGATTTATATCGGATATTATATAAAATGTTTAATAAATGTTATTATAATCTATTCAATGTTGGTCTGGGACTCTGATTCTTTATTCTATCTGTAAATTATCTCGAGTAGGCGATTTGTGAGCTCCACTCGCCACTACAGATCCTCCATCAAATAAATTTGGTATGACTGGCAATATAATTGAAACTCCAACAATTTTGCCCTAAGAGCGCTCTTACAGTGGGTTTTCTAATCATTTTTTTAATGTCCTTAATTCATTTTTTTACACTAACGGAACAGACAACCATATTTTACAGCTAGATCCTCTTGATCACACATATATTATCTAAGATTTACAGCAGTGAAATTATGGATATAATTTATCTAAGTTTACCAGTATTTCACAACCTAGCATTTAGCTCGTCTCGACAGACGATTCTTGCTTCTCCTTCCTTAGCTGCCAGTAACCAACTGCTTGTCTGTGTTTCAAACACTTCCCCAAACTAAGGTAGCTACAATGTTACGTGAGTTTCTGCATTGTCCTAGTGCAGACGTCATTTGTTAGAGGAAAATAGCTAATCTGAAAAATAGCATATATCCATCTTTCAAAAGGTGGAGGGGAGACTATTTGCCACACTTCTAAAGTGGGTGGAACACGAC